AAGAGGTGTTTTTGCCCAAACTTTGCCCATTATATATTAGTGGACTTCAACTCCAAAGATCCCCCAGGCGGGGTTGGCGGGGGGGGGAATTCTGGGAATTGAAGTCCACTCATCTTAAAGTGGCCAAGTTTGGACAACACTGATCTAGTTCCTTTGAGAAGTCCGTAAGGCTGAGAAAGGTGGAAGGAAAGAGGAAAACCAGCAGCAAGGTGGATGGACACAGTTGGAAGACCTGGAAGACCAGGTTGAGGATAGATCCTCCTGGAGGAAATCTCTCTCTCTGACTGCTAAGAGCTCACATGGACTTGATGGCACATAATTAACCAACCACATGAACATCAACATTTTTGATCATGACCCCAAGCAAAGCAGCACTTAGAATGGGAAGCTAAAAGGAACCTTAGAGGTCACCTCGTCACTCCCCACTCAGTGCAGGATTCACCTGAACAGGGCTTTCCAAACTTTTTCAGGCCATGGATCTGGTTAATTTAAACAAAATTTAAAAACAAAAAAATCCTGGAACTTTGGTGCCTGCCTCTCAGATCTGGAGTGATGAGTTGTCCTGAGCACAAACACCCTGGGAAGAGGGGGGCCTCTGAATGTCAACTGAACAGCCCCACACTTTCCACTGTACCTTAGAAAATTTGCTATGGATGCCCCTGGCTGTGTTGAGCTGACTTTTTCCCCGCCCTTCGTCTCTTGCAGGCCCCTAAGGTTCTGCAGAAGAGAGTTTGAAAAACCCTGACCTAAAGCATCTCGGACAGATGACCATCCAGCTTGTTGGAAGACACCCCCTGATCTTGCCCTGATGGGTTACACAGCACCAGTTAAGCTGCATTCCCACATGCGCCTTATCTCTGAATTTCTGGATTCACGCAGGTCACTGAACTGCAAACTCGTGCAAGGGGTTGGGTTGGCAAAGGCTAAGATGCAGACTAACCAAGCGTTAATCCCAACGTTATCTTTAGAAAAGCAAAATGCTCCCATCTAGCGGTGGCCTGGATTTCTGCAGGCCGGTTGGGGTAGCAGTTCAACCTAAGCGTGCATTGCCTACTCTTCTTGAGCAGGAAGTGCTAAAAAGATCTTCGGGCCTGTTTTGGGGGTGGGGAGGGGGCAGGAGAGGGAAAAGAACCACACGAAAAACACAATGGGGAAAAGATGGCTGTGAAGTAGGTTAGCGAAAGCGTCCGGATCCTCGGTAGAGCGAATGGTTCTCTTCCGTTCTCGGAGTCCCGACAAGCCCAAAACTGAAAAAAATTCAGCTCCCAAGCTCTTCTGCCCCCATCCCCAATTAGCCTATTTATTCCCAGACACGCAATCCTGCCAATTAAAAAAAAAAAGGAAACAAGGTAAAAACCACACCAGGCGGAAAGTAACAGTATGCCTCGTTCCAATATTTTAATGAGTCACTACATCTTACCACTCATAATTATAAAAGAATAAGAATCCATAAAAATATTTTCTTTTCATAATACGCACTTAAAGATACTCGGGGAAGTTTTTCTGTGGTTCAGATTTTCTTTCTCTTGTTTTGTGGGCAGGTCGACGCTTCTTCTTGCTTTCGGATTTCACCCCACCCAGAGGGAAGCAGAAGAGGGCCTGGCGGGGAGGGCAGGAGCAAGCGGGCAGAGCGCTTCTCCAGAGGTGCACCCACAGGTCCCTTCCCAAGCTGCTGTTCGTGCCGAGCGGATGCAGCAGGGAGAGGGGGGCAGAGCGCTACCACAAAGAGAAGAACAAACAAGCAACATCTGGGGGGGGGACAAAAGAATACAGTCGCTGACCGGCAGAGAACTGGAGCAATGCCTACCTTGCAAGGGCCCCTGCCTCAATCGCAGGACGTGGAGACGGGATGGAGGGGGAGTGGGACGCAACGAGAAAGAGGGAAAAGGCTGCCATAAATAATCTTGCAACACCAAACAAAAACTAAAATTAAAAAAAAAAATCCCAAACCAAACTCAGCCACCATTATGCCTGGTTTCTGGATAGGTATGCAGGGGCAGCTCGCTCCTTTCAAACATGCTTGAGGAAGAAAAAACCAAAGGAGTGGGGCGGGGTGGGGGAGATCCAAGACAGCAGCACCACATGCTTATAAATAGAGCCACCTTACAATTCCCAAGTTCCTGTTCCAATCAGTTTCTCCCTCTCTCTCTCTCCCTCTCCATTTCCTCTCCTCTTGCCCGCTGAGCCCACCTAAACTCAGGAAAAAGGTCTCCCGCATCCGAGGGGGGAGCCAAGCCAGCAACATGGTGGAAGGGGGGGGGGGGGAGACAAACACAGAACTCTAGCAAGGAGAGAGACAGACAGACAGACAGACAGA